GGCGGCAGTAGCGGCCCCCACGGCGCCGTCGTCATTCTCGTGGCGGCAACCCCACCATCTTCGACTTACCCTACCGATTCGTCGATTTTATCTTTTACTCTATCAATTTTCATAAAAGATTCTTCCCGTTTTTATTTAAACTGCACCTCCGTGTCAGCGACGTAAGCACATTTTACTGTATCAAATTCACTATTACAGGGTAATGCTCGCAGTATAACGTATGGATTGATTCCCCCACCAATTCGACTCTTAAAAATGTGTGTTCAAATACAAACAAAACACGTATATTTTTTACACATTTTTTATATTGTTTATAGGACTATATAAATGGGAGATTATTTAATTATGTATATGTATTGAGTCTTGCAATTCAATTGTTCATTCTAAAGAATTGATGAAAAATAAGGAGCTATTAATGTTGAAGGTGGGAGAAATTCTGTTAAAAAAGACAGTTATTGATACGAGTTTATATCTAGATAGTAAAAAGTGATAAGTAATATGTAAGAGAGATATCACAAATGTAATTTAGGTTAAAACTTGCGTTTCAGATAATGTTCGATGAGTTCATTTATACACGGCCGTTCTTGTATACTGGACGTGTAAAAACGTACCCGCGCAAGAGCAATAGAATAGGAGAGCTCTTTGGGAAGAAAAGAGAAGACGAACTGACAGAGCGCGTGATCAATATAAGGGATGCTAACTTCATAATTACACTCTCTACTTCTAGCATTACTTTCTGCCAACTTCTATCGTGTACGACTAACATTAACTCAATTAATTTAGGAATACATATCTCTTATCAATATTTAGGAAGAAATGAAAAATATTGATTGTGATCCCCAAATTTTTCCTTTCAGTTGCATATGAATGATTATAGTAATTCTTCAGATGTGATATTTGAATTCAATGAATGGTAATTTGTAGTTGAATATAAGCTACTACTAATTATCATATCATTTGGATACTTCGACGTAAGTGCATTGTGCAATATGGATAATAATACATTAGAGTCATACTTATAGCCGAGATGGCGCTATCACGTGAGTTCTGATCTTGAACATTTCAGGTAATTTGTCAGTGTGTTAATTTGAATCTTGTTTTCGACTGAAATAATGCTGGAATTCAATAAAACCTTCCAATTAGGAGTATGTTTAACATTCTATAATTTAGAGTGTTGGTAGAAACTAAACAGCTGATAGGAGTTTCGTTGATAATGCCTGACTCATTGCTGATACACGATCTTAGGCGATTGGAGTCTAATTGAATGTTACACAGCCTATAAATGCAGTATTTCTTTGTATTCGATTGAACACAGCTCAAGACCTTATTGTCTGAATTTTAAAGTTTCCACAAACGTCAGCATTTTCACATATTCATAAGTGAAGAAATAAATTGATCGAATATCATCGTGACTGATATACATCAACGTGACTTCAATCCTTGGTGAATTAATGAGAAATGAATTTGACAATTGGGTTGGTTGTTTTATCTTTGTTTTCTGTCGCAATAGGCAATGTTATTTACTATCAACCTGAAGCTGTACATTTATCCTATGGAGGTAAAACGTATTCCAAATTACTTATATTCTTACTACACTACTTCCTTAAAGGACTTCTATAATTAATTATTAACAAATATCTTATAATTTCTAGATACTATTCATGACATTGTCGTAACATGGACGACAAGAAACAATACTCACGAATCAATCGTTGAATATGGAATAGGAGGATTAATCCTTACAGCTCAAGGAAATTCTACTTTATTTATTGATGGTGGAAATGAAAAACAAAAACAATATATTCATAGAGTATGGTTAAAAAATTTAGAACCTAATTCTAATTACCGTAAGTAAACTAACTTTCTATTTATTTATTGGATCTTAAATCAGCTATATACATATGTATATAAATTTTTCAAATAGTTTATCACTGTGGTAGCAAATATGGATGGTCCAATATATTTTATCTAAAAACTGCTCCCGAGGTATCAGCAAAATGGTCACCTCACATTGTTATTTTTGGCGATATGGGTAATGAAAATGCTCAAAGTTTACCTAGATTGCAAGAAGAAGCACAACGTGGACTATATGATGCAGCAATTCATATTGGAGATTTTGCATATGACATGAATACAGATAATGCACGTGTTGGAGATGAATTTATGAAGCAAATACAAGAAGTGGCTGCGTATTTACCATATATGACAGTACCTGGTAATCATGAAGAGAAATATAACTTCAGTAATTACAGGTCAGGATATATTTTATGCTTAAGATTATCAATTTATTCATTTATAATTTCTTCATTGTTAAAATAAATAAATATGCTATTAGGTCACGTTTTACAATGCCTGGTAATTCTGAAGGTTTATGGTATAGCTTTAATGTAGGACCAGTTCACTTCATAGGAATTGAAACAGAAGCTTATTACTTTATGAATTATGGTATAAAGCAACTTGTTAAACAGTATAACTGGTTAGAAGAAGATTTAACAGAAGCAAACATGCCAAAGAATAGGTAAGTTTGTATGTTTTTCTATCAGAATACAACAAAAATTAACAACAATATTTTATAGGGCACAAAGACCATGGATAGTTGTATTTGGTCACAGACCAATGTATTGCAGCAATGCTAATGCCGATGACTGCACCAATCATCAAAGTTTAATAAGAGTTGGATTGCCAATTATAAATTGGTTTGGTCTCGAGGATCTTTTCTTTAAGTACAAAGTAGATTTATTATTATGGGCTCATGAACATAGTTATGAACGTTTGTGGCCCATATACAATTTTAAGGTAATCATCATGAAAATATCGTCTTAAATTCGTTCAAAATAAGTAAAGTGAAATAATATTTAGGTACAAAATGGTAGTTATGAAAATCCGTACAAAAACTACAAGGCACCTGTGCATGTAGTAACTGGATCAGCAGGATGTAAAGAAGGCCGCGAAAAGTTCATTCCGCATAAACCAGAATGGTCTGCGTACCGTAGTTCTGATTATGGATATACCAGGATGAAAGCATATAATCAGACTCATCTTTATCTCGAACAGGTATTATATACTATGGGAAAAACAAATGGGAAACGAATATTTGTTACTATTCATTTAACGATATATCGATAATAGGTATCCGATGACAAAGAAGGAGCAGTTTTGGATCATGTTTGGCTCATAAAGGATAATGTCTTACCATCGTACAATGTGGATCTTCTTGCAAATAAAATATAAAACATGGAACATAAGATATAATTTAGGACAAAGTAATTAAAACGATATACAGACATAACTTTTATCGTTTATCTTTTTCGACAATGTATCATGCTCTTTTGTGGTAAATAGCAAAACTGCGTATCTACCAACTTCAAACAATTGATTTTTAATTCTATTGTAAAAAATTTCTCCCATTCCTTCTTGCGTAAAAACGGATAAACTACAAAAATTTGCTAATTACAAATGAGATGGAAATTATTAATAATGCGTACATACAATATAATCCTTTAATTGTTAAAATATAAATATATGTATATATATAATCATTGTAGCATATAATATTAATAATATAATATTAGGGTAGCATTTCATATTTCCATCTGATTCTCACAGTAAATCAATATTTGTCAATGATACATGATGAATAGCGTAATTCGTACTAAGAAAAAAAGAACACTTCCAAATTCAGTAGTAGTAGTAGTAGTAGTATAACAAAGAAACGCTTTCTTTTGATGTTAGAAATTGATTTCAGATTTATATACTAATTCAATTAAAGCTATTAATGTTTCTATGCTGCTACTTTTAAAATGGAAAATCCACTTGCCCGTTGACTGGCTCTTTGCCAAGTGTAATTTACTATTTTGGCTTCTGCTATAATATTTGACTAATGAATTTAAAAAAATAACCAGGAACTGCTCTTCTATAAATTATTGCGATAGAATTGACAACGAAGCCAGAAAATATTGAACACCATCTTCATTAAAAAAAGAAACTGTAGCTACGATTATCAAATATCGTTCTTCCATATAGAAGAAGCATGCCACTCTTTATAACGTAACACAGTTTACAGGGTAAGCTTCTTATCTTTCTTATTCTGCCTTCGGTTTAACAAAACATTCAATCCCCGTTATATCACCGCGAACCTACTCAGCAGGTATAAATATTAATTTAATTGGATCCTATAGTACATAACTTTTTCATGTACAATTTCAATGAGTATGTGTATGTATGTGTATATACTTACACGCATACACACGAATCTGCCATTGGAGATATGTGTTAAAACCTTATAAAGATGCATAAAAAAGCATCATAAATTAGCGAAAATAACTGATATTTCGATTTATCTGCGTTAAAAAAATTCTTCCAAATTGGTAGACAAACTGCAAATATTCGTCGTAATCGAATGACTTTCTCATGCATGTAGCCATACATCTCAATATGTAAACAAAGGAAAAGCTTGATACTGTCAGTGATTAATGGAAACAATGGAAGATGTTGCTGCTGAGTGACTTTCCTGATAGGAAAATTGGGGGAAATGCTCTTGTTCTTCGGCTATCGAATTCAAACCACCTCCACTACCTAAAAATCCTTGATCAGGCGGCGTAAGTTCGACGCTTTCACCCGTAAATTCACTATCAAAATATCGGGTGTCTGTGTCAGACGTTACTTGAGGTTTAAAAGGAGGAGGAATTTTTTTCTGTACAAGATCCGACCAATCAATTGACGAAAAAAATGCATGATCCATAATTTCCTTCGCATCGTTAGGTCCACCACCTAATCTTTTACTCGGATCTTTTATAAGTAATCCTGAAAACAAATTAAAAGCTTAACAAAATCCATCAATTTCACAAGATGAATTTTCGCCCGAGATTTAGAGTTTCCAATTCAATTTACCGCCCACTTACCACCAAGCATGTCTTTTGCTTCATTACTAATCGTTCTAGGAAATCTTACTTCTTCCATTACAATAAGCGTGAAAAGCTTCTCATGGTCCTTATTATAAAAAGGTAATCGACCACAAATCATTTCATACATAACAACACCGACTCCCCACCAATCTACGGCTCGTCCATAATCGTTGTCTTCTAACACTTCTGGTGCAAGATATTCAGGAGTTCCACAGAATGTTTTCGTCGTTCTCCCTGAATATTTGAAATGTTATCGGTATTTTTTACCATTCTCAAATCCACAAATTCATATTTGAGTATGCACAAGCTATTTACCGTACGTTATATCTTCTTTACATAATCCAAAGTCAGCTATTTTAATATGTCCATCCTTGTCTAAGAGAAGATTCTCCAATTTGAGATCACGATAAATGATACCCTGCGAATGAAGGTAACCTAATGCTGAAATTATTTCAGCACCGTAAAACCGAGTACGATCCTCGCCAAACACACGAGAACGTCTTAAATGAAAGAACAACTCTCCCCCATTTACATATTCCATTACAAAGCACAGCCTGTCCGCTGTTTGAAAGCTATACTTTAGAGACTGCAAATTAAAAAAACATTAATTATCCTTATATGCGCAAGGACGATATAACAATATATAAACTACATACAATTAGGAACGGATGATTCGTAGTTCGCAGTACTCTATTTTCAGTAAGTGTATGCGCGACTTCGTCTTTACGAATAATAACTTCTTTTCGTAATATTTTAATAGCATATAAATGGCCTGTTGCCTTTTCTCTGCAGAGGATTACTTTCCCAAATGTGCCCTTTCCCAGAACTTTCAAAAATTCGAAATTTTCAAGAGTCTGAAACGAAAGAACAGAAAATGTATTATTAAATGCAAAATATCTAGATTTAGAATGATATGTGTAGAGAACAACACCAATTATATACATACTACTTTTTTTTTCCCTGTACTTTTACTATTCGATGTTCCTTGAACACTAAATTTTGCAGATAGTTCATCAATACTGCCACCGTCTGCATCCGAAGACACTACTCCGACAGATCCACACGAGTCTGACCTACCACCTCCCGAAGATTCCATATCAACATCTTCAGACGAGGATGAATGTTGCATCTGCGTAGGCTGTTGTTGACTTTGTTTCTCGCTTGCTAACCTTGCAGCTACATATCTATAAAAGAAAATAAAAGATGACAGAAATATTTATATATTTTCAGAAATCTATAGGCTCGCAAAGTATGTTATTCTGTCTAATTCAAAACCTTATCGCTGCAACCCAATCTTCTCTTTCTTGTTCTGTTTCTACATGAAACGTCCTCTCAATTACAGCAGCCCATTGCAAACCTCTTATGACAAAAGTATAAGGCTTAGGTCTATCTACAGACATGATTTGACAACCACGTACAGTAAAATTGTTCAGTGGCTGTGCTGCAGCTGCCATTTGTTGATCCGGCTTAGCTTTGAACCCAACTAAAGTACCATCGTCCCGCAAAACAAAATACCTTGACCTCCAATTCTTTATATGCTCTCCTACACATAACAAATAAAAAATCATCTTTAATTTATCACCTCTATAAATATCAAGCATTTTATTTATGCTTTACAAAATATGTAAGTAATATCTATTTAGTTCAAGATAATGACCAAAGTTCAAACGAACAGTCTAATACTTTAATATTATAGTAATTCTGCTTTCTAAAATTCTCATGAAAAAATTACTTTTAATCTTGACGTTTAATTATTAAAAGGAGGGATACGATAAAAGAGGAGAAGATTTGAGAAAATGAGAAGAGGTTATTTCAATTTGAACTCGGCCCGATCGAAATGAAGGAAAGAAGTAAACATAAATATTATGAAACTCCTCTGTAGTACCGCGTTTTTGCAGCCAGCCTTCCTTAACGACACGCTGACCGCCGCCACCGGACGCTGCGACGTTCATCGCTGCGTCTCCCATAACTCCTTTAATGCGCACTTGCACACACTATGCGGATACTCGGTGTCCCTGTCTAGCCGGAATATTCCAGGAAAATTGTCGAAATACAACACCGAGAATGGCACGAGTATACAAACTTGAGCAATCATAGATACACGTTTGGCAGGTAAACTCAACTTATACTCTGTGATCGACAGACACACTAATGCGCACTAACTAAAACTAGCATTGCTTCCTCGTATACCGGAGATGGCGCAGCAATCGATTACGAATAAAGAAGAATTTTCATTGAACGATGCCTGTCTACTTTCAGTCAACCTCGGGTTATCGATACGGATATTGATGACGCTTACACCTTTCTATATATATTCTATCCTTTCGGACAAGCATGCGCAAAACCCTTTGTTTATTATGATTTATTATATATATATATGTGTATGTACATTTTAGACCTACATTGTTATGTACGACTATACGAATTTTAATAAAAAATAAACGTGTTTCCTCAAATATTGTGCATTATTACATTACGTTCTGATTACTATATTTTAATTATGATCTCTAGAAATTATTAGTTGCTTATAATATTTTTGAGCTTACGTAATAATTTTCTATTAATTCTATTTAAAATATAGACACAAATTCCAAAGTATACTGTCCTAATAGAATTAAATATAAAAATCTATAGATATGTATAATATAATAACAGCTCTAGTGATGATGTAGATGCCTATCGACAGCTATAGATAACTAATCAAAAGGCGTAGCACGGCCGTAATTTACATGGAAATGAATATCTTTTATCGATAAAGTTAATTCAAAGTTGTTTTAAATCATTTTCAATATCGTTGTGGTATAATGACTTTATCGTGAATATGTATTCAGTTTCGATGTGTTTTATAAAATTTGTCTACCTTCCACTCTATCGCATCGACAATCACGTTTGTCACTGGGTTATCGGCCGTCATTCGCTTTGACAGTGATTCTTCTTCCCTCTAACTTACTTGTCTCTTTATGAATTAGTATAGAAGATAAGATTTGAGAAAAGTTTATAAAAAAATGGTAATCGTTGTCTATCAGACTGAAGGCAGGATTTCAAACCTGTTTGATTACTAAAATTAGAATTATGCGTAATCAATATTTGTTTACTCGAAGATAGTAAAATTTTGGATTAAAATATTAAATTAATGAGATGGGTCCACCGCCAGTGGTAACGGGAATATCTCCTAAGGAAGGACCTCCAGGTACCCGCGTGATTGTTCGCGGTGAATTTCTGGGTAACAAAGCTCAAGATCTCATAGGTTAATTTCACTTTTTAAGTTACTCACTTATATTGTTAATGGTAAAGAAAATTTTTCATCAATGGAAATTTTAATGTATTTAGGTCTAACAATATGCGGATGTGATTGCTTCTTATCAGCAGAATGGAAATCTTCAAATAAGATCATTGCCAGATCAGGACCTTGTAAAGGTCGGGGTGATATTATAGTAACTACACGCAGTGGAGGACCAGGA